GTTGAGTGTAAATGAGGTGAGCAGTTTACTGTAAGTTAACCTATTTTTACATACTGTAACTATTGATTTTGTACGTTTTATAACTAAAAGAATATTAAAACAGTTGTTATGATCATGGATAGAGAGTAGGACAATTACTCAGTATTTTAAAGGCTACTTTTTACTTTTAATTAACTAAAACTATGATGGAGTAGTGCTAATTTTACATAAGTACCATCTTTGGGTTCTCTGTCCACATGTATGGAGGGTTAAAATGACAAAAAATGAAATACAGAAATGAGATTCATATATCTGAAAGTTAATAAATAGAAAATAAAAAAATATTACCATTTCTTTATATCACTAAACTGCTAAATGTACAATATCATCATGAAATGTACAATTAACTAATGTGCCGCAGAGTAATTGTATATAACTTTTAAAAGATAATATTCAACAATTTAATGACTTTAAATCTATGCAATAAAAAACATGTATTTCTTTTTATTTGTATCTATTTGTTTTGTGGTGTCTGTGCAACAGATGCACCATGAAATCATTTAAAATGTCAACTTGTCCAAACAAGCTCAGTGTGGCTCATATAGAGACCCTGATGTCTGATTTGTCCCTTTAACTCACCATAAATATATGATCCTGACAGCTGGTATGTTTATGTAAAAACCTGGTTGTCTTGCATAAAAACTCCCCTGTTGTAGTTCATTCCCCATTATGACTGGGTAGTTCTAATAGGAATATAAGAGAGATAATATGAAAAGGTCTATGGCAGTAAATCCCAAAGCTGCTCCTCAAGTACCCCTATACCAATCTCTTTTTTTGCAGCACACCTTATTCAAATGATTACATGACCTCCTCAGCAGCTATCAAGTGCTGCAGAAGACTGCTCATCATTCTTTTATATAAGCCAGGTGTCTGACAGCGAGGAGAGATCTAAAACACACAGAGCAGTGAAGCTTGAAGACCAGTAATGGGAACCACTGATCTATGGCATTCGAGAATTCAGCCTTCGGCCATAATGTATCCATGCCTCAAGAGCCAAACAAGGCAAGCTGTGTCATAAAATAGAGACATATGTTCTTTTAAAGTGTGCAAAGCCTGACACTTTTAAATAAATAGGATTTAAGTTATGACACCAGAGCATTGTGCTCTTTCTAAATGGAATGATAACATTAAAAGTTTAATGTATACTGATATAAACATTTTAACACCTCTGCGTATGCCCATGAAATAAACCCTTCTTAAATTGATAACTCTAATAGATAATTAGATGAAAGAAGAAAGTTCCAAACTCACAAAACAATATTCGCTTTAATTGTTTGAATTTCGACACTTTTGGGGGGGAAAAAAATATTTTTATGTTTAAACCATGGTGAAAAAAAAAAAAAAAAAAACTTTTCTATTACATTCAAGATGCTTTATTAATCCCAAAGGGAAATTTGATGTTTTTGTAACAAATATAATTGAGGTTTCTTAGCCTTTGACTGTAGACACCTCGTTGATGTTGTTTAACAGTCTGATGAATAGGATGCTCACTGTCCTGCATATTGGTATGCATTTCATCAAGAATGTGTTTTTAAGAATCCTCTCCAGAGGTTCTAGAGGAGATCCTAGAACAGAGCCGACCTTCTTCATCTGCTTATGGGGCTTTTTTTAAGACATATTCTCTGATGCTGTTACTGGAGCAGGCGATGGTAGAAGAGATCACACCCTACGCAACTGACTTATAGAAGATATGCTGCATCTTAAAAAGCTTGCTTGAGAAGCACAGTCTGCTCTGTCTCTACATGTAGATGGTCAATGGGACATGTCTTTTTTTTTTTAGATATCCTTTAAATAGTAATGTGGATATGTTTTAAGTGTGAAACAGAAGATAAATATTTGTGATTTTGAGACTTGATTTTGCTATAGAAGCATTTATTACTTATTTCCTATCAAAGCAAATCCATAGAAATCATATTTCCATGTCATCCCTTTTACCCACACTCACTGTGATGTGTGACTGGATTCAGAGAATTGATGAGTTGAAGAATATCTAATGTATCTAGTGTATTTCTGTCTACATTCTCAGTCATCCGGGTCACAGCAACGACATAACAGGCTTCAATTGGAAGGCAATTTGTGCTTAGGAGGAAGATACTCCATGCTACTTAAATACATCAGCAGTACATCAGCACTCCAACTAAAATATGACTCTGGTGTGAGTCAACATAACTGGCAATGACTCCTGGATAGGTATAGAAACATCTTTAAAAACTGAGCAAAAGTCCAATTAAAGTCTGTTTTGTGTTAAACAACAGGAGGTTTTCAGCAACCTCACTTTAGGGCAGATCATAAATCTTTTATATGAACTTTTCTATAAGAGCTGAGCTTTGGTTTTAGCAGGAATATATTTTAACCCTCAGGCTTAATTTGTTTTGACAATGTTTGTTTATATTTCCTGAATGCTGCTCAGGCCTCACACCTGCTCACTGTTTGGTTAACTTGCAGCTGGATGGATGTACCACCCTGCCTATGATAATGCAGCATCGTCCTTCATTAAAGTAGCTTCTAAAGATCCTAAAACTTTAAAGGGTTTTAATACCAAAGCTGCCTTCTTAGTTATTTTTATATGCTACTTTAGCTTGTTTCACAGATGAAAATGAAGAAAAATCTATTTCTGGGAGCTGTCAAAAGAAAGACAAATGGTCTATACAAAGCATAGACAAATCTGTGTGTGATCTCCACAGAGGAGAGAATAAAACAGTAGAAAACAAGGACTCAGAAAAAGGAAGCACAGCAATCTCCTCAGGCTACAAAGTCTCCTGCTGACAGCTACTTCAGATGGTGTCGTCTTTTTTTTAAACATCTGTTTCGTTCATTTGCCAAGGATGCAGTACACATTACGGCAAAATTAAAATATTTAAATGAAGTATTTCTGTGGCTTATTAAACGCATCTTTCAACCTGGTGATGCATTTAAAGGATGTAGAGAGAAAAATAAAGCAGGTCAAACATTGAGACTTCATTTGTCCTCTTAGATTGATCAAAGAATAACAGAATTAATCAACTTTCAAGATCTATGAATGTATTGGCCATCATCAGTATCAGCTTTCCTAAATCATTTATTAGTTCTAAAGGGGGGATTGTTAGCCTTCTCATAACAATAAAATATAAGCATGTTATCATATGCCTTAGATTAATATGTTTAATCTGGGTTTGATGCGATGGACCAACAGAAAACAGACTCTGGAGGAGCTGAAGAGATTCATAGCTCCAGAGGAGTCTGTAAACTGGATGCCTGTAAACGGGACACAGCAGGGATCTTGAACTGTGTGCTCTGGTGAAATAAAACTAAAGCTGAACCTTCTAGTCTATATTATACAATGGGATATTTGTGGTGTTGGACATCTCATTATTAAGGTAAAAACATAGTGGTGGCAGCATCATACTGTGGAAAGGCTTTTTTTCCCCCTCCAGCAAAAAGGAATCCGGTCAGAGTTCTTATAAAATAAGCAAAGTGGTCATTCTACAAAATTTTGACTATGCAGTATTAAACATAAACAAATGGCAAAAATAAAAGCTCAGTAGATTTTATTTTGAAAACTTTTTGGATTCTTATGTGGAATTTTTCTCACATAAAACCATAATTAAAAACAACGAAGATTGTGCTTTTGATATGAAAGATGTCAAAAGTTGTGGGGGTGTTAATATTTTTAAACTTATTATACTGCTCACTCTGTTAATGTTTAAAGATAAAACAACCGCATGAAGTATTTTAGTCTTTGAAGCCTTCAGAGCATAACCCTTCACTCTGACATTTCAATAACACTTATATCCAGATTCAGTGGTGGGTAGACTCCCCTAAAACTGTACTCATGTAAGATAAGCAATGCCTCAGCATATTCTATTTAATAGTAAAAACTAGTCAATCAAAAAATTACTCAAGTAATTTTAAACAAGTATTTGGCAAAAAAAAAATACTCAGAGGCTGAGCAACTGATTATAACATCTGATTAAGGATTTTAAAATGATATTATCAGGGAAAGAAGAATTTAAAGTTACTTACGAATCCTGGTATTTTAAATCCTAAATAATTCAGATAAATAATGTAACTGCAAATAAACAAATGAAAGAAAAACAAACACACACAGAGCTACGTTGACAGTATTCCCAGCTTACTGTATATTTATATACCTCCAATGTCACAGCAGAGACTATATATGGAACACTGCATCAAAGCCTGAGTACAAACAACAATGAACACAGTATTAAATCAACTTTAACTCTCTGTCTGGAGCATATTTCTTTAGTCTTTTCCTCATTTAGTGAAGTTACTCACAGTGCAGAGTAGCCAAAGAATTTACTCTAGCAGCAAAAAAAATTAAGTAAATAAAAAAAAGTAAAGTTCAACAACTTATAAAAGAAAAATTTCATTAAAAAGTGACTCAAGTACATCTAACTGACTAAATACAACCTTTGTCCAGAGGGACTAGGCATAAACAGGGCAATTAATCAGAGCAGATCAACCATGGAAATGTTTTTTATTTCAGGTAATGTGAAATGGAATATATGTCATTATTTTTTCAAATAATATTCATGACCTTTTTTTCATTCTGTAAGATAAAAATACAGTAGTGGTAACATATGGAGGGAAGTTAATTCCTGATAAAGAAAAATAAATAAATTCTTGTTTTTGTTTTTTTTTTTTTTGTTTTTGTTTTTTTTTGTATCATAATATTAGATAGAGGCCATATTTTTCAGTAAACTTCCCATCCGCTCTCCTCTAAGGGTTGCATTAATCAATCAATGCTCTATTCAGTTATTTAGTTATATTTTGTTGTAGATGGAAACATTAAGCAGAACCCAGATTAAATCGTTTGAGCAGATAGTGTGTCTTTCCTGTATATAACTCAACTCCCTGGTCGCTGTGCTTATGTTCAATCAATTAGTAAAATTAGTAAATTAATTCAAAGGGTGTTAATGGAGGCAGGGAAGCAAACAGATGATGATGAAGAGTAGCCTCACCTGTCAGCGCGTCGTAGGATCTGTCCAGCTCTCTGGAGTCAGACAGACTCTGATCCTGACTCCTGGATTTCATCGTTTTCTCTTATTTTTCACCGAGCCACCGCGCTGGAGCTGCAGCTTCTGCAGACATCACTGGTCCCCAAGCATCAGCCTGTGCGCGCCACTCAGGGAGGCGACCATAAAGTTCACGCAAAGCTCTGCGCTCCCTTAGTAATGGCTTTTAAAATGTGAACCTTTTTTTTCCTCCAAGTCTGCCCTCTCCTCCACGCTTGAATGGATTGTGTAGAGATTTTTAGTTGATACTTTGCTGAGAGTCGAAGCACAACAGTTGAGGCGGTGCAGACTCTGAGCTGGTGGTGTGCTCACTTTGGTCCAGAAACTCGGAGTGGGAGGGAGGAGGAGGAGGGGTGAAGAGGGAGAGGAGGAGAGTATGGATCAATAACTGAGCTCCTGCAAAAATAATGAATCAAACTTTAAAAAGACATTTTACAAGAGTGTCGACCTTAAATTCACAATACAATCAATTTACGTTAAGTGGTCAGATGGTCTACCTGGGATGCACATCTTGAAAAGTTTTAAATCTTTTTTTTTTTCACTTCCACTGTGAATATAATAATTCTTAATTTGGCTAATATCTAAGCTTTGTCTGGACTATTCATTGGAGTGTTTTGATTTAACTCTTTTATTGGGGTTCTAACAACAGTTTGGAGGTTCCTCTAAGATTCAACCTGTAACCATGTAACAGGTTTTCTGCATCCCCTCAGCATGACGCTGCCACTACCAAATATTACCATGAAGGTTGTAGGTTCAGGTTGGTTTACAGTATTACTTCTGTTAAGTTCAGTTATCACCAGAGCAGAGCCTTTTTTGTCCCTCTCATAGTTTGCAGCAAATTAACTGAAATGTCTTATTAATTTTTTTTTGTCACTTTTCCATACCGTCTAGATTTCTGAAGTGGTCAACTAAATCATCAAATTCTCCAAACAGAGCTCTTAATCTCTGCTACTCTTCCTAATTAGACTGTGCTTCTTGGCTGCTTCTCTGCTAGATTTTCACCAAAAAAAAACATGATATGTTGAATTTTCTCTTTGTTTTTCACCTCTGGTTTTCTGCAGTATTCTAGTCTTTGACATGCCTGTTGTGTAACTGAGTCCTATTCTAAGGCTGTTTTATTAACCTTGTCTCTATGCCTTGACTCCACTGCAGTGCAGTGTGTATATTAGACTACATCCTCCTGTCACAGTCTTGGTTCAGTTAAGTTTTCTTTGAGTTTTCAGTTTCATGTTTATTCATGTTTTTCTTTATTTTCTAGTTTTATTGATTTAATTCCTATTTTGTTGTGTTTTTCTGGATGTACTTGAGTTCTTCGATTTTTCTTTGTTGCCCTCTTGTGTTCCCCTTTTCCCTAGCTTCTTTCTAGAAGCCTCTGTTCACACCTGCTCCCAATCAGCTCGTTAGTCCTCTCTTTGTTCAGTCAGCCATAAATACTCTCCCTGTGCAGTTCTTTAGTGCTGGTTCCTCCTCCTTCCCTGTCTTTCTCTGGCTCCTTGTGCTTGTTTTCCCTGATGTCTCCATGTTTCTGGATTGTTTTATTTTTTTATGTTGGACGTTTGGACTCCTGCCTCAGTTCCTTGTGAATATTCAATTAAATAAAGAACTCACCTCTGCCTCCCTGCCTTTGCGTTTGGGTCCTCAAAACCTCAACCAAACCCTGACAGGTCCCAGTATTTACCTCTCCATGATTTAAGCCTCTCTACAATCAATTCTTTCCAGTTCCTACCATTAGGTCCTGTTCTAACAAAGCCAGTGTTAAACTATAAGAAATAAACACCTCCATTGTTTTTATTTCAGTAGTTTACCGGTACCTTTTAAACCTAGACTATTTCCCCTTGCTTACATTAAGGTCCACTAACCCTAAACATGACATTTGTTATTAATAAAGGCTATAGGGCCTCCACAAAGCCATTTGAATGAATTAATAAATAAATGAATTAATAAATAGAACTTTATTAATCTCATAATGGAGAAATTTACTTGTGTGATTGGCTCTTATAAACAAACAGAAGGTGCACAATGGAGGATGAAGTGCATTATGTATATACAGTGTAACCACATATATACAGTGGATGGTAAAAAAAAATAAAAGAGAGATTTAAGATGACTTAAATCTCTCCTATCAGATTTAAGTATCTTATGTACTGTAAAGTGGTGGCAGGTGAAGTCCTCTTTCTGGTTTGTTAAATAGAAAATGAATAGTATTTTAAATTTAATGATACATATATGGACTCACTAATGGGATTTAATATATCAGTATCAACGCAAGGAGTGTTGAATAAAATGCACTTTACAATTTTTCATATTCTGTTGTGTGAACATTTTGAAACCCACCTATAATATAATTAAACTGTAATATCATTACAGTTATGTATCAAAACCCATGAACGATCGTACTTTAGCGGTTATATGCTTAAAAGCTTTTGTGAAAACAGCTCTTTTTAAGGTGGTTGATAAGGTGAGTGAAAAGAGCAAAATAATTTTGGAAATCACCACAGACAGACCTAATGAAGCTTTCAAACTAGATCATGTGGTACATGTTAAAACATTTCACCTGCTTTTTTTCCTAAAGATAAACCTTTGTTAATCCTCTTATGTGATTACCATGAGCCTGTCAGCAGCTCCAGTTTATTTCTTTATTTGATTGCATATATATGCTGCAATAGACTGGCGACCTGTACAGGGTGTACCCCGCCTTTCGCCCAATGACAGCTGGAGATAGGCACCAGCACCCCTCCTGACCCCGCTTGGGATAAGCATGACGGAAAACAGATGGATGGATTACATATATGTGCAATCACAAAACTGTTCCTGCGGAGGGAAATGTATTATTCTGCAGTAATTCTCAGAAAACCTTTAAAGGAAAATCCTCCCAGAGGAAGCTGGATGGAATGGATTCATGTTTCTAGAAAATTCCCTAACTGTTTTTTTGTTCTCTGAACAGCCTTTGTCTCCTTTAGTATAAGCCTCAGCATCCATCAGAGGGACAGCATTAAAGAGTAATTCTGACTTGGAAAGCTGAAGGAGGTGGAGAAGCTCAGAGCTCAGGGTCCTTCATGGCTGCCACATCAATGAGATGCAGTGAGAGTCACCTGTATGAACTTTTTATCAGCACTTCTGGTGTTTTTTTTCTCAGTAATGAAGCGGCACAGAGAACTGTTCCACTGTATTTGGAAATATGTTCATTTACTCTTTGATCAATACAATAGACAGAAACCCAATATTTTCCTGTACTGGTAGCAGCAGTTGGCACCACAATCATTAGCTCCTGCTGGTTTCTCCGTTATCTTTATGCTGCCTTCAGGTCGTCTCGAAAATTGGAGCTTCAATCTAGGAACTAGTCTGATTTGCTAACTTAGATGTTGCTTGCCACTGTTAGTTTGTAGGAGATGATATGCAGGTAATCTCAAAATTATTCATACTGGAGAAAGTTTTAGTTTTCCTAGCAATGAAGTTTCCAACCTCAAAGCTCATTGCAAAGGATGGATTTTGATAAACACTCGTTTAACCAAGCCAATAAAGATTAGAAATCATTTTGAACATAGTATTTGTTTAAATATTTTGTAAATTTGAATGTTTTAAAACAAAAACTTTTTTTATTATTATTTGTACATAGATGTCTGTCTCTTTAAAAAGTAATGTTTTTACCTAATTCAGAAACTCTACAAGTCTTTCTAAAAAGTTTTTTTTTTTGACAAGCTGCACAGATTTGCAAACATGTGACGTACAAGTTTATACGTCAGTTTGAAAACCTGTAATATGTGATCTAATCTTATATAAAGCGTTTCTTTACTAGCTTCACAATCCAGTGAAATTTAAATACGCAGTTTTAAGTCTTTCCTTATTCCTTTGTTGTCACCAAACTATTCCAATCCTCTTATCTTTTAACTTAGATCTTCAGGTGTTTTATTCTTTAGATGTTAATTTCTTTAGTTTATACTTGATCAGTAGATTTCCCTGGGGAACAGAACATTTATAAAATGAAAACAATGAATTTGAGAAACCTGTGATCAAATGATAAGTTCATAACTGCAGATGCTATTGTGCTTTTTATGTGTGCTTGTTACACTTCACACTGAACCCAAGGCATCTAGTCCTTCTAGTCAGATCTGACTTCATGAAGGGGAAGAAAAAAATCTAGAAATTAAACAATGTCAGGATTTTCCAGCAGAGCAGCACTAAAGCCTCATTAATGCAAATGTTTTGTTTTAGATACTGACCAGTTGTAATAAACAGATATGTCATCCTAAATAGTTATTTATCTCTTACCGGTAGTTTGTTGAAATCTTTCATTGTTTAATACATTTTGCTTTATCTAGTTATTTTTCTTAGGAAATGATTACCGACTACTTTATCTGCAATTTCTGAACACTATAACTGTGCAATGAAAAAACATGTTCTAATTTAAACTAATCGAGTTTGGAACATAAGAATGACTGTAAAGAGTAAATATATATTATTGCAAAGAGGTCTTTTGATCTAAGATTAAACAAAAATAGATTTCCTATCTTCATCGAATCCAGGACATTGGTGCACTAAAGTAATTTAAAATATGTATATATCTATGCAAACTGCCACCTGGACTGAAGGGCACCAAGAGTTATTAACCCTCATGGATTATTTGTTGTTAAAAATGTAAAGGCAAAATAAGAAAGAATTTAAAAAAGAAACATGCAAAAGGTAATTTTCTTTAAGAAAACAGCAACAAAAAGAAATGTTATAGTTTTTAAAATCCTGCTTTCTGAAGAATCCTTTCCTCAACTCCCAGCAGTGAACCTCTTAAACTATTTAATCTGCAGGTGCCTGAAAATATCTGTTTAACAAAACTATGCAACAACAACAAAAAAAGAAATCCCTTTTCTGGGAAAAACATAAAAAAAACGAATGCTTGTTCGGGATGAACAGAGGGCTTTTTTAAGGACAGACAGGCGAGTGAGGGATTACTATCCTTTATCAGAGGGCCAATGGTGGAGAGAGAAATAATCCACAAACTGCAGAAGAAAGACCCAGATAAAGTGGAAATGTTGAGAAGGGAACAGCAGAAAAATAAGGCCTGTAATATGAAGTATTAAAAAGAAGGGAAGCTAAAGGTAGAAAAGAATTAAAAGAAGGCAGTAGGTAGGTTTTTGAAGGCATTATGTGTCTCGCTCTCAGCATTAGTAAATCTACCAGTATTAATGGTGTTTGTCTCCTGAGGGGGTTTACTGTGAAGTTTAGCACCACTGGAAAGCAGTGCTGACAGATAACCAATAACGAGCTCTGACTGATGCTCAAAGTTGCACACAAAGCCGAGAAAGGCTACTGACAAAACACTGGAAAATAATCCTCTGACAGATCAACTGAGTACGACTGCACATGTGAACAGCAGTAAACATCATAAACCTGTGTTT